TGTAGCTTTCCTAGGAAACTTGCATCCAAAGTTTGAAGTAGATTTTGAGACTTTTCTATCCAGTGTGTATTGTTTAAAAAGGTCAAGTTGAACATTCTGATGTGTTAATTCTCCTGAGCCAGGTTTGTAAGTGACTAAACAGACTGGGTAAGACCTTATGAATTTTCTTAAAATAAATCTGGGTAAGTTGGTTCTTTCATTATTTACTCTTGAGTCTCACCTCATTGGTTCATGTCACATTCATCTTCCAGCCTTTTTGGTGAATATATTCAGAACTCAAGCCGTCTAATATTGAACAATGATTATTTGTTTTGCATATTACCTTAGTTATTATTTATTTAGCCTTTGGTGTCTTTACAGGTCTGACAGTTTCTGTGTTTTATTTGATACTTTGAAATTTTAAAAATAAAAAGGCTCATGTCTATAGTTTAATAAGAGAATTGTTTTAATATGTATGTTTTATAAATAGGTATTTGGAAGAGCAGAAGACTGAGAATGGGAAAGACAAGGAACAGAAACTAACAAATGTTGAAAAGGAAAAAATGAAAGAAAAAGGAAGCTTCTCGGAGTTGGGGTTAGCCGATAGTAAAACAAAACCTGATCCCTATTCCTCCAAAACCGATCCAGAAAAGTCTTATCGTGGCAGCCAGTCACCTAAACGCTATAAGGTTCGGGATGATTTTGAGAAGGTGAAGATGGCAGAATTCCACAAGGAAGGTCATTATGGCAAAGAGGAGATGGATGAGCAGGAGAAAAAAGATAAGGCTAAGGGCCGAAAGGATTCAGAGTTTGATGATGAGCCTAAATTCATGTCTAAAGTGGTGGCGACCACTAGCAAAAACCAGGATGAGGATAGGCCAGGAAAATGGGAAGGTGTAGTGTTCTTGCCATCGGCAAAAGAGAAGCAAAGGAAAACTGAGGAAGTGGAGGAGGAAACCTATTCTGAAAGGTCTAAGAAAGAAGAGAAAGTAGCATCCAAAAGAGGTGAAACGGGTCACAGAGGGTTTGTTCCTGAAAAGAATTTTAGAGTAACCACTTACAAAGCAAACCAGGAGAAAAGTACTTCCCCTCCACCAAGAAAGGCCTCTGAGACCAAGGACAAACCAGGCAACAAAGGAGATGGGCTAGCAGCGGGCAAATCTTCCTTCTCCATTACCCGAGAGGCCCAAGTCAATATCCGAATGGATTCTTTTGATGAGGATCTTGCACGGTAAGGGTTTGTCTTTGTTCAGTTCCGTGTAGTCGCTTTAGTAGACTGCTTTACCTCTCGTGGATCCTCAACCTGACAAAATACCAGGGAAGTTAATTACAGGATATTGCATGACCGGATGTTAACATTACTCTTCTCATCTCTAAGTGTTAACACATCCACATATGGATCCCCCATGTGGAAGGCCAGTGATTATGTTCCCTGTTTTGCAGAAAATGAAGCATACAGTGTAAGCGAACTTTTCATAATCTGCATAGGGAAGCTGTGTAGGAGACTAGATTAGCACTCGGGAGTTGGTGGCTCGCAGCCTGTACTGCGACTATGCCATGCTCTATTCAGAGGTAATAAAAGCGCTGCTCTCGAGCTGTTTGGAGGTCTTTGTCAGCATGGCAGCTCAGTTATGCACACTTGGAGGAGAATTTGCTGCTTTTCTTCTAAAGGTAGAGTAACTGCCAAAACTGCTTGGGAGCTCTGACAGCCATTTACCATTTCTGAAAGGCTGACAGTGTGGAAGACCACTAGAGGGTGCTCACTGCTCAGACATGATCTCCCAGCAGTAGTCAGAAAATGTCAGTGTTCCCGCGGGACACCAGAGGAAGCTCTAGAACTCAGGAGTGAAGAGAAGGAGCAGAGAGGACGGTGGATGGCAAGCAAGTGCTGGCACTTCACAGGGTGAGGTGGGCTAATGTTCGTGCAGCACTGACCATGGAAAAAACAGTAAATGATCAGGATGACCACTGCAGTGTTCTAGCACAGCTGGGATGTGCTTTAAAAACAGCCTAGGCTGAGCCACACAATTTTGCTTTCACGCCTAAGTGCAGCTCTGCACTCATAGATTTGCTGTGGGAGTGGCTCTGCTGCAGCCAGGTGAATAAACATCAGATTGGATTTTTTTAATGTAAACACATTTTTCCTTTTTCAAAAATAAGGCTGTCTTAGAACTAAATTTGAAATGGATTACCTGTGCTAAGGCCCGCCATTACTACCATCTGTTCAAATTGCTTAAATAAAAAAATGTGCTGTAACAACAAGAACTTGAATTTTGCTGTTTTAGAATGTTGCTTTTTAAGTGTGTACAAAATCACAGGGAGCTTTTCCATAATCTCAGAATAATAGCACGCGCAATAGTACAAACCTGTCTGCAGTTTTCTGAATGTCATTGCTCTGAGTTCCATTTGTGTCAAAGCTGCTTCGTTAATTACTTCTTGTTGCAGGTCAGTTATAGTAGGTGCAAAGAATATTCTATTTACTCGGTTTAGTTCATTTGAAGTTGAGAAATGAATTGAAAGGAGGAAAGACGGAAAAGCTTGATTTCCTCTTCCCATCCACGAATTGAAACCAGTTCTGAAATCTCCACGAGCACAGGGCTATCTTTTCAGAGGTACCTGAATTAGCAATATGGGTCTGGGCTGGACTCGCGTAAGTGCTTTTGCAAAACGTACAAGGTGCCCACATGTACCCTTTGGGATGTAAGAGTACCTCTGTCTCTGGTCACACAGGCCAAGTAGTGAGGTCAGACTTAACTGCAGGCTATGCTGGTTATGTTCCCAAAGCAGTCTAGTTTTTAAATGCAAAATATATTTTGATAAGAACAATTTTAAATTCTGCATGTTATGCATTGTATTGAATGCTAGTTTTCACCTAAATTCAGGTTGATGTGAATCACAATTGAAAAGTTACCTAAACCAGCCACCTCCAGCTTACATATATTAAAAGTGGCTGAAAAAAGGGTTAAAGGTGTTAAACAATATGATAGCTTAAATAGATGCACACAAATATAGTGCCCCGCTGGCTTGCAGAAAGTACCAAAGTTAGTCTGAAGGCTGTGTTGAGTTACAAATCGGCATGCCTTAATGGTAGCATAGTACCAGGCAGTGAGAGTGACTCTCTTTCTGTAGGAAAGTAACAAAAACAGCAAATGGGAAACACATCACTGGTTATTTAAGTTAAGGTTTCCCCGTTTGCTCACTTAAATCATGATTAAAATCAGCAACTGAAATTTCTCTGATTTAAATAAGTCTGCCCTTGCAGCAAGATAGTGACTGCTGCAGAGATGCAGTGGGAAGGCAAGGAGTTTGTGCCATTTTCCAGGAGGTGGTGGTGAAAGGGTTGTCTTCAGTGCAAGACCTGGGATGTGTGTAAAGTAGTCTCAGCTTGTTTCTGGGCAACCCCTTAGAGATTGCTCTCCAGGCCTTATTGATGCTTGTACTGAAACCAGGCAGTTTTATTGCCGATAGTTCCAGCTTTCTTTGGATTTGTTTTAGGAAAAATGTTACGGTCTTACCCAATCTGTTCATAGCTTTAAGGAACCTTGTTCTACCTTCTGTGCCTGCCACTCTTAGTCAAGAAAATGTTTGCTGCTGTGAGTTCCTGAGCCAGGTTCATGTGTCTCTGACTTGTGAAATTGAATCTGTCCTGGGTGTCTGGAGTGCAGGGAAATAAAATACTTAGTGCTAAACTCCTGGGATCTGATATATTATAGGAAGACATTACTAAAAGTAGGGAACATTATTAGTAATTTTGGCAGAGAAGAAAGGGCCAGAGTTCCGGGAGCCATGTAAGTGGAAACAAAGCCATTGGTGTTTTGGGGGAGGGGAGGGGAGGAGGTTGTTTTTTAGATGACCTACAGCAGGATATGAAATGCAGCGCTTGAGTTTATTTTACTTTGAGTGTTGTCTCTTTACAGTGTGAGAGCTGCTTCGATCCAGCTTGCCCTTCTTGTGGTTATATTTATAACGTCTGTGTGTTCTCTCTTAGTCCGAGTGGTATATTGGCACAGGAACGCAAACTCTGTCGCGACCTTGTACACAGCAACAAAAAGGAGCAGGAGTTTCGCTCCATTTTCCACCATATTCAGTCGGCTCAGTCTCAACGAAGTCCTTCTGAATTGTTTGCTCAGCACATAGTGACTATAGTCCATCATGTGAGAGGTGAGCCAAATGTCCTGTTGTCTTTGGTCAAAAGTTTATGCTCCCCTCCAGTCTACTGGGGCTGCCCCCTGCCTGCCTATGCTTAAAACAGCAAAAAGCAATACTCTAGCATAAGATTGGGCCTGGAGGCTAGTGCAAAATCTGCATATATGTTGTGTATTTGGATGGCTTGCATAACTTTAGTTTAACGCATTATATTTGTTGTTAAGCAGATTGAATTCACCACTGGTGCAAGCAGGCCTTGTTTCACTGATTTTTGAGGGAGTGGCTTTGTCAACAGTATTATTGACTACTTGAATCTTGCCTGCTTGCCCTCTGTCTTCACACTTGTGTGTTCTGGAGCCATTGCAGACCCTTGTAGAACTGGCATGTTTTCCTAAAATCCAAATGATAGCAATTCCATGGTAGTTTTTCACTGAACGCTCCCCTCCCCCCTTGCAGAGCATCACTTTGGGTCTTCAGGAATGACACTGAATGAGCGTTTTACTAAATACCTAAAGAAAGGAATGGAACAAGATGCAGCTAAAAACAAGAAGAGCCCTGAAATCCATAGGTAAGGAGCACTTCATTTTTTTTCGAACATTCTAGGGATATTTTTAATATTTTCTTTAAACTATGTGGCATAACTCAAAAATGAAACTCACCAAACGTCATCTAGGTGGGAAAATAGTAATTGCCATATTGGATATGTCACTGATCTGTCTTGCTGCGTCTGCAGTCTGCCTTGATGGTACTAAATGTGGAGGGATGTGGAGAAACTTGAGAGAGTCCAAAGGAGAGCTACACGCATGATTAGAGGACAAGAGAGCAGGCCTTATGAGGAGAACCTGAGAGGCTTGGGACTCTTCAGCCTGGAGAAATGAAGGCTCAGGGCGGAACTTGGTGGCAGCCTAGAAGTATAGAAGGGGTGTGCGTCAGGAACTGGGAAAATGTCTCTTCACCGGGACATCCCAAGGGAAGACAAGGTCTAGTGGTCACAAACTGCTGGAAGACCATTTTAAGCTGGACATAAGGATCCCCAGAGCCTGGAATAAACTCCCCCCAGAAGTGGTACAGGCACCTTCTCCGGACACTTCTAAGAAACACTTGGACGCCTATCTTGCTGGGATCATTAGACTCCAGCTGACTTCCTGCCCCTTGGGCGGGAGGGTTGGACCTGATGATTTTGTGAGGTCCCTTCCAGCCCTAATGTGTGTCTATGAAATATTTCATAGGAAGCTGTGAGAAACATTGTAGAAGATGGCTGTGGGATGTATATCAGGGCAGTCCTTGGAAAATGCCAGCTCTTAGTTATCACTTGTTTGACTACAGCACAATACCTAATACAGGCAGTCCTTGCACTTACGGCAGGTTCCGTTCCTGGAAAAGGCGCTGTAAGTCAAAACGATACGAGTCGAATTTGATTTTCCCATAGAAAAATGGTGTTATAATAGGGGGTTATGTTCCTGACCAGGGGCCTGATGCCCAACTTTTTATAGAAATGACCATAAACACCATATTTAATCAACTATAAATGATATACACTGTACAGTACAAAGCTTTCTGAAGTGTACTGTATATGAGTCGATTAAATAGGGCAAATACAGTAACCACATACATTTTTATTTAATCAGAAGGTGAAGGAACACCTTCCTCAGGGTTGTGGAATTCAGAAGGGCTTCTTTGGGGAGATTTCTGGGGAGACTTGGGGCCACTTGATGACTTTTTGAGAAACTGATCCGGGGGTGTTTGTTTTGCTGCCCGCTTTTCTCATTGTAAATTTTACTGTAGTGCTGTAAGTGCGAGGATCTGGCACCGTAAGTAATAACATGGGTGTAAATGGCGGAGTGCTGCAAGTGCGAATCACCGTAAGTCGAGGGCTGCCTGTAGTTCAGCTGTTTTGTGGTGAAGGACTCAAAGACCGCAACAGGTCAGAATGGTTTGGATGCTATGGATTCCTTTGTGAATCGTGTTTGCCCATCTTACGGTGCTACCATTGTGTGGCATCCTGTGGCACCTTTGAAAGGATTTCAAGGAACCCCAGGATGCCATGACAACCTGGTGGTAAATAACTGGAGTATGGACTGCTTGCTTATTTATTTATTTATTTATTTAATAACATTGGGACTAGGAAAATGTGACATTCTATTTATGGTAAGGCAATGGCTTCATGCTTTGCTTTTCTTTTCAGACGGATAGATATTTCTCCCAGTACTTTTAGAAAACATGGATTCTCTCAAGAGGAAACGAAAAGCTCCAGAGAGCCTGGCTACAAGGTGAACTGTTACTGTGATCAGTTATTCAACAAAATGAGTGCATTGGGCATGAACTTAACAGTGATGTTTTGTTTAAATTACTCTCTACTTAAGTTTGTGTTTTTCTTTTAAGGATGGGCATAATTCTAAAAATGAACTACAAAGGGTTAATTTTTAATAAAAAAAATGTATCAACAACCTTTGTGAAGTGGTTAGAATATGGTAAATGATCCCAAAGTCAATTGAGGTGAGCTTGAGAAAAAAAGAGAGGATTTTTGGAACAAGTGCCCATGATGAGAGAAGAGACTTTTTGTGATATTTTTCTGCTTGTAAGTATTATTAAATCAATTGTATACACGCGATATTTCCAACCATATTTTTGAAAAAGACATGCATGTCAAAGAGAGGGAAGTAAAACTAAATAGTTGAACCAAATACCCTATTACTAAGCAGATGATAAATTTTGTTCTAACACCTTGCCGTATCATTTCTGTTTATTACCGTTACTTTAACATTCAGCACCTGTTTTTAATAAAAACGGACCGTTTAAAATCAAATAATAGTTTTTGTGAGTAGAACGCTGTTGAACCTTAATACACTCTGTAAGCCATCCTAAAAGGATTTGGAACCTAAGATGTTAGATTCTGGGTTTTTAACCTTTGTTTGTTCCCCTTCATACGTATTTACATTGAACGTTGAAGAAATTTTAAACAGTCCTACTGAAACCTTACTTGTTTCATATTTGTTTTCAATTTTTTTCCCAAACACATTTGTGGCTTGACATGGACGATGGTGAGATGGATTTGATGGGCCTGATCTGAGCGCCAGCTTGGCAGCGTGTATATAAAAAAAACAAAACAAAAATCAAAAAGCCAAAAAAAAAAACCTTGTGGTTTCCAAACAGCCCGCCAACCCTCCGTGAAACAGCTGTGTCCTCACAAGTACAAAATAGGTGTTTGCTGCACCACACAAGGGAGCTGCTGCTGACTGTGTCACTTACCTGTCCTTCATCGCGTTGGGAGCAATTTTGTTCTCAGAGTAGGAATTAAAGCTCTTTGCCTGGGGGAAGCAGAAGAGCAAAAAATACAAAACAAAACGCCAACTCCCACCTCTGCTGTTAATTGAAATGTTTAATTAAACAAAATGTGTTTAAAAACTCATGTAAGTAAAACTTTAAAGTTAGAGAATTACTAATCCTTTTTATTTAATTCAAGAGAGATCTTGATTTATGTTGCTTTTCAAGCTTTGCAGTTCCCAAGCATAGAACTGTGTCAGTAATCTAGAACTTTTAAATCCACTATTTAAATAATAATTGGGTATTAAAGCTAAGGCACTCATTACCCATTTTCCTCATACTGACTGGATTTAAAATATTGTACTTGGTGTTTGTTCATACAATTTTATGTTTCTGGTTATTGGATATTTTCTTCTCATGATGCTCCATGTAACTTGCATTAGTAGGTCATTTAGATGGGCACAGGGAGGGAAACTTGTACCCTTTTGTGCACCATTTCCTCACCTAGTGTAGAATGTCTCCTGTTTCCATGGAATAAGGTGCAATTGGACTGTCTGGGATAGGGCAGAGCAGTGCTTACGGTTGGGAATGTTTGGTTCTGGTTTGTAAGTTAGAAGAGATTTCTGCAAACAAATCAACATCTGCATTTGTGTGGCCGCTATACAATTCTTCTAGCTTCATGTAGTAATCATGTCAAATCTCCAGAGGAGTTCAGTTGTTCAATAACAATCCTATGTGGGAGATGAGAAATTTAAAGTGCTAGGACTGTGCATGCCAAGTTCTGACACACAATCTTTTGGATGGGACTTTAAATGAGAGGGCTATTACCAGTCTCAGCCTTCTCTGGCTGCAACGTAATTTAAGTCCGTCTTTGGTCCCCTTGTGTTGGGGGGGGGAAATAGGTGAATAAGTATCACCAGAGTAGGAAAACTCTGAAGCCTTTGAATGAAGATGCTAGGTTCTCATAGCAAATTGCTCTGTATTGTAAAATGGCGCGCACTCTCCAGAAGTCTTACAGTCAGTAGCAAAGTAATGGTTCTGAAGTTGCTGATGTAAACTGGAAACCTTGCTGTGTACAATTCTCATCTGCTTCATGTCTTTTCAGGCTGAAGGGAAATACAAAGATGACCCAGTTGACCTGCGCCTTGATATTGAACGTCGTAAAAAACATAAGGAAAGGGATCTTAAACGAGATAAATCAAGGGAGTCTGTGGACTCAAGAGATTCTAGTCACTCAAGAGAGAGATCAACGGAGAAAACAGAGAGAACTCACAAAGGGTCAAAGAAAAAGTATGTAGGAAACTAAATCTTCGTTTCCTTATTTTATGGCGTATGCTGCTTCTGTTGCGATTGCACAGTGAATAGATGCTTTGGGCTTTGCTGTCACTTACGGAGCTGTGCTGTGCTTGCCTTCTGAGATTTGATCCAGGAGGCTTCTTTCTGTCGTGCTACTGAAGTGCTGGTCAGCGTAAGTGTGGTGGCTGCTCACGGCAGGGTGAGGGGAATGTTTTTTTTTTTTTTTTACAGATCATTTGCTGTTCCATCTGTCAAGTGAAGTGTTGGTAGGGTTCCCATGCTACCTCTTCTTGGTTACTTTTACTTGTTTTTTTTATGTTCATTGATGCAATAGTTGGCTATAAAGACAAGGTGTTCTCTAGGCTGCTGGCTTTTGAATTCTACTCTTTCTCAAAAATGGAGGAGAAAAAGCAGCACCTTTCAGAGTATGTCATTTTAGTTTTGGACAGAACCAGTAAGCTAGGTTCCAGTCCAGCAAAGTGTGTGCTTGCGGTGAGTCGTGTTTTTCCATTCACAGAATCGTACAAAATTAGGGCTGGAAGGGACCTTCACAGTCCCTTCTCTTCTAGTTCAGCCTCTTGCCTGAGACGGGATCATCCCTATCCAGACCATCCTGTACGAATCCATTGTCTTAACCAGTTAGTACTACTACATCATCCATCCTGATACAACCACAGGACGTAGCATCCTAATCTGCCATAGGTCAAGCAGGAGGACTGCAGTGGCCAGTGTCCTGCTGCTGTGAAGGCTGGTAAAATATGCTCAAGAGATCCAAGGAAGAGGGACTGTTCTGGATTTAAAATTGACCATGTGCACAAGCGTTGGCCTGGATCGGGGCCTGGGAGCCTCAGGTCACCTCAGTGTAGTGTCTGAGCACAACTCCTGGTTGCTGACCATCTTATTTCACCATGTAACAGTGCAGTTTGCCTGTTGGACTGTATTTGTTGCATGACAGCGCCTTAAACACAGCAGATACAGTTGACTGCTTCTTGAACAGACAGACCAGATGCTTTTCACACCCCTCCTTGGGCAGGTAGATACAGCTTTTGGGAAAAGGAGGTTGGTAGGAGGAGCGAATTAGTGCTGGCTGTATGGTCTGGTGACAGCGGGATCGTATATTGCTGGAACACCTTTGTGTCAAAAAAGGGATGTGGCCAAGCAGAGAGACCACAGGCTGTGTTGGAAGACCTTGGGGGACCTTCACCAAAATCAGTCCCTGTCCTCTATAATTGGTCTGGTTTCTGAATCCAAGCTCCTGAAGGAAGGCATTGTCTTCCTTGCAAGTTTCTGCAGTGTCCAGTACAGTGGGTGGTGGTGCATGGCAGGGCATCTCTACGCTACCTTAATACAGATGAACGGAGGATTCTGTCAACTGCCTCTACTGTTTGAAAATAGCCTGTCCAGGGACCTTGGCCAGTTGTCACCATGGCGGTGCACAGGCATCATAAGGGAAGAGATTGTTTTTCTGGTGGAGGCATGGGGGGAAAGTGATTTGACAGCAGAGAATGTAAGAACTGGGTCAGACCATACTTCCATCTTACTTAGTGTCCTGTGTCAGAGTGACAGAGAATAACCTGGGCATGACGAGGGTTTTTTCCACTGTCCCTTTCTGACTTGGAGCCTCAAGCATTTGTCTTAGGAAGTTCTGATTAAGAAGCATTTTTTTTTCTCCCCCTCTCCCCATGCCTGGTACAGAAAGCACAGGAGAGTGCGTGAACGGTCCAGGTCCAGTTCTTCATCTTCACAGTCCTCTCGCTCCTACAAAGGGGAGGATTACCCAGAGGAGAGTGAGGAGCGGGAGGAGAGCACCACCGGCTTCGACAAGTCCCGGCTGGGCACTAAGGAGTTTGCTGGACCTGAGAGGGGACGAGCTAGAGGGACCTTTGTAAGTCATCCCCTTGCCCCCTGCAGAGAACCCTGAGAATTGCTGCTCTTCCCAGTTCAGGTGTCGAGCACAAAACTGGTTCTCTAAATCCAGGGACCTAGTTATGATCCATGGTGACAAGCTAAAGCACGGTAGCTCCTAGCTGCCAGCATGGCTTAGGATGTGGAAAGCCCCTTGGAGGTGTTTGAAATCTTAGAGCTGGCAGTCTGGTGAGGATCCTGAAGGCCACATGGAAACTGGAAGGCTTTTGCAATGCCCTGGCATCTGCACTGGCTGGGGCAGGACCACTGTTTTATGTCAGTAAACTTGGGGAGGAGCCGTTTTCAGTAACTCTTCCCATCTCAGCTGCACTGGTGTTTGAAAGCTCTTGTCTTAATGGCACAGCCCTCCCACTTACATTTGTTACATGCCTTCTCTAGTGGTTTATGAAAGAGACCCAAGGACACTTCTCTAAGCCCTGTTTTCTCCCCCAACCCCGTTTGTCTCTTCTGTTTGCCACCACAGTTCAGAGCGAGGGGACGAGGATGGGGCAGAGGAACCTTTTCCGGCAACAACAACAACAACAACAGCGGTGGCAATACTGATTTCCAAAAGCGGAACAGGGAGGAGGAATGGGACCCAGAGTACACACCCAAAAGCAAGAAGTATTACCTGGTATGTCTCAGGAAAACCCATCCACATGGGAATGTGCCCTGCCAGCTGCTGGGCCTTTCCCCGTGGCTGATGTGGTTTGTGTGGGAAGGAAACTGGGTGCCATTGTCACTGGCTACTAGTTCTGGTATCCTGGAGGCACTGCTCCTGAGGGGATGCAGTTGATCTAGAAGCTTTTTAAGAAAGGAGCAGTTCCAGCAGTCGCTGCGCAGCTATTTGCTATTAAATAGAATCCTGAACACCAGTGAAAGTGCCTGCCTGCTATTTTGTGTTGATTAACACTGTTCACTCTTGGCACAGGCTGGACTGGTCTCCCACCCTCTAGCAGCCATTTGGTTAGGCCAGTCCTGCCCAGATTCCTTCCTTCCTTCCATTTGAATCAACTTTAAACAGATTTGCACCAACGTGCTTGTATTTCTCCCCCTGTTCTTGGATTTTTAAGACCCTGCTAATCTCTCCGCAGCACTATTAGAAAGTGTTAAGTATGGCTTGACTTTTTAATAACTGACCATAAAGCCCTGAATCAGTTAAGTTGTGTCTTCTGCTCTCTGCTTTGATTTTTATAGAAACTGCAAATCTCTAAGCTCTGCTTCTGTGTCACTAGATACAGAAATCTGGACCACTTTCCAGTCTATGGCCTAAAAAATAATAATAATAAAAATAGCTGGGCCAGTAGTGTTTCCATGAGATGGCAGGGTGTTTGGGGGTGAATTGCTCTGCCCAGAAGCCCTGCATAAAGAGCAGCTGAAGGTCAGATGGGGCATGGTGTAAAACCTTCCCCAGAGTAACTTCTAGTTGGACAAGTGCAGTCAGCTGCAGGTCTGTTGCCTATGGAGGGCTTTGACCCCTGGACACCTCTTGGTGCTTGCTGCTGCAAAGAGCTCTGTGCAGAAGAGGGGAAATGTATGCAAAAGCAGAGGGGGAAACTTGTTTGAGGAACAATCCCAAATGCACACTTGCACCCTTTCATGTGTTGGAAGTCACCAAGTCATCTGACTTCGGTGTAGATTACATAAATGCAGAAGGAGGTTGAGTCATGTGGGAGCACTGCCCAGTTGAAACACCTTAGGGGGGGCGGTGTACTAATTGTCTTTCCCTGGCTGATGGGCATGGCTTGCTGATGTCCGCCAACTCCGTTGTTTTCTCTCCTCTACAGCACGATGACCGAGAAGGTGAAGGTAGCGAGAAGTGGGTGAACCGGGGCCGCGGCCGAGGTGCTTTCCCCCGGGGAAGAGGCCGCTTCATGTTCCGGAAATCAAGCACAAGTCCCAAATGGGCCCATGACAAGTTCAGTGGAGAAGAGGGAGAGATTGAGGATGATGAAAGTGGGGCAGAGAACCGGGAGGAGAAGGACAGCCTGCAGTCCGCAGCCGAGTAGCCCCCATGCCTGCATGTCCCCAGAGAGCCCTGGCATGGGGAGTGGTGGGGGCTGGGGGCAAGATCCAGCTGATAGTGTTGGAGATGGCCAGGGGACACTGACATGCTGACCATAGCCAGAGGCAAGCTTAGAAATTGTCCCAGGTTAACTGTGGCTTCCAAGTTCTGCTTCTGAGAATGTGGGCTAAAACCAGTCAAATCATTTGCATTCAGATCCACT